CATGTGCTTGAACAGTACTCTGGGCAACGCCCTGGTTAATATCTTCTCGTTTTGCTTAAGTTACAGAAATAATTGTGTCTCCCATTTTGATAACCCAATCTATGGGCCCCTTTCCATGACTTCCAGTTCGCAAACTTCACCGGAAATAGTTGAAACTCTTGCATTTCACTTTGGTTTTCAGTTTCTTCTTGGGAAAGAGGAGAGACTTCATATTGGGGATAAACTTTTACAGTACCGTCGAAGATGGGTGCCACACCATATATAATCGCAGAAATAAATTCACAACGGGTGGCCTCATTCGCGCTAGTGATGGGTGGGGATGCTTTGTGCATTCTTAAAAAATTTTCAATCACACTATTCCTGATTTCTTCTGGAGTTGCTGAACTTCCAATCTCAATACATGATAAATGATCATAGCTATCAGCCTTCAAACCGAAAAGAACCTTCATCTTGGGGAAAGTATACGAAGAGAAAGGTTGTTGCATGACATGCATAAATTAACTGATCAGACATTTGGTAGAATCGGCACATGAATATCCTAAATGTCTCGATAATACTTACACGTATCCACAACTATTTTCAGATCCACCTTGGAGTTAGCAGTCCAGATAATGCTCAATAAATCTTCATCAGCAGAAAATTGAATAACTTTACACTCTGTCGCAATCTCCACCGTATCACTTGCACTCTGGGAACTCGAACTTGTTTGATCTAATTTTTTATGCATTTTACTTGTCGAAATTTTTCTCTTTAAACCGGCTCCACCTACTATACGACCTATTACGATATGCCCGTTTTCTGTCTCATCCGGAAACATGAAATATTCACAAGCTTCTTCTTAAAACCTTCCAATGACACCATTTCTCGGCTCACTATCCATTGAAAATTCACACTCTTACGACCATACGTCGCAGTACAATGTATCTCTTTCGTCTCAACAGGACGCTGTACGATGATATGTATGTGCTCGTCGGCTGGCTGAGAGGGAAGAGTGTTTGCTAATCTTTGAATAGGTGGAAGTTTCTCACTACCAAGGTCCTCCTTGATATTAATGTTTATTTTTGTGTTGACGAGCTCAAGTTTCTTGTTTTCTTCTTTGAAGGGAATGTCAACCTTCTATAACTTAATGTCTTTGGCGTCAACGTTAGTAAAGATCTGTGGCTGTTCTTCCTTAATAGCTTTCTTGAGATGCCCAACAGTCTTAACCTTGTTAGTGTCAATATCAACCAGAAAAGAATTATCGTAAGGGTTTTTACCTACGACCAAACAACTGAGAGTGATAGTCGACATAGCGTTTTATAGGGGGTCTCCATATGTGCATACATATAGATATACAAACACTAATTTTTTTTATTTTATTTTAGATTTCTTTTAAAAAATCAAAAACAAACTTTATGATTTTGCTTTTACATTGTACTTTACTTACATAATTTGTATATTGATAACTTTCATATCCTTATGTATGTATATGTTATCGTCAAAACATCTCAAAACTTATTCGATTACACTGATAAAATTCACCAATCGGGTTTACCACAAAATCCCGACATCTAAAATCGCGAAACCCATAATCCAGGCGTGATAATTAATATTTAATGCTCATTGTCAAACTTTAAATTTTTAATTGTCATATCGCGTGATGCCATTATTATGGCCTGTATTGGCTGGTCGAGGTATTGGCTGTCGGGATTTTGTGGTAAAACCCTATCAACCTCTATCTAAAATTTACCACTTCATCTCTTTCTTTGAACACCTCTTACTAAACAAAATGTTATATAAACTATTATTTCACTACAAAATCTACAATTTCATTCTTGATTTAACAATACAAATATATATTATTCTATCTACACACCACTTATCCCTATTTTATAATATTAAAATTAATTCACCCTTGTAATAAATTAGCAAATTTTACATATATAAATCCTCTTTCCTTATTTTTTATTAATTCTCCAATGTAAACATAAACACCATTTATTGTTCTTTTTATAAATTTCTCTATTTGCTTTTATCTTTAATTAAAATGCTCAAACTTACACATTCTAATTCACTAATAATCAAAATTTACCGTATACATGAATGCACCACACGAACTTACCACTATACTTGTATCAACACACGCACGTAACAAATATCCCAACACATTTTTTATTT